TGGAAGCCTGGATCAGCGCCCTGAGCAAGGAGCAAACAAAGATGATGTATTGTACAAACCCTTATGGGTATTAATTGGAGCATACTTCAATTAATCCTCATCAATCCACAATTGCAAGTCCATATTGCTCATGTCCAGCTTTGTGAAAGACAGCTCTCCTTCCAGCTTTGAGTATAAATCCTCTCTGTAAGGGATTGGTTATTTATCCAACTGCAAAAAGTGGTTTACTGTCTGTTTAAAATCCCAAAAAATGAGAACCCACCTGTCAGGTTTCGCAATTGGTATGACTGCTACTCCCAATTCTGCAATTTCCAGTGGTTTGATGATTTCTTCACTTTACAGCCTTCTGATTTCTGTCTCAAATTTCGCACGTAAGGCCTTCCTGAAGGTAGAGCCCAAAGGAAGAGAAGAACAGTTGGGTAAGAACAGACAAAGGAATGGATAACAATCAAGCTGGGAGGGTGATGGCTGTTAACGGGGACTATTAGTGGCTAACAATGGGTTGTGTGTAATAGCTGACCATGTGATAACAAGGCCTGGTGAGCATGGATTGGGCTAAGGACATAGGAGAGGTCAAGCCTGAAAATTGTTGAACTCGAAAGTGAATTCAGAAGGCTGTAGAGTTCCCAAGCGGAAAATGAGGTGCTCTTCTTACAGCTTGCGCTGAGCTTTGCTGCAGCACTGCCGCAAGCCTGAGACAGAGATGGTGACCAGGGAACAAGGTGGTGTGTTGAAGTGACAGGCAACTGGAAGCTCAGGGTCTTTTTTTGCTGACAGAGCTCCAATCCCACCCATCGTTTCCCCCTCACTCCTTCCTCCACCCTATTTTCTGCATAAAAACCAACATTTTCCTAGCTACCATCAGGTCTGAGGAAGGGTCACTGGACCCAAAACGTTAACTCTGATTTCTCTCCACAGATGTTGCCAGATTTGCTGAGCTTTTCCAGCAATTTCTGTTTTTGTTTCTGATTTCCAGAATCCGCAGTTCTTTCGATTTTATCCAATATTTTCTACGCTTGCTTCAGATTTGCAGCATTCACTGGATTGTTTCAATCAGTTGCTGACATCAATGTAGAGAATATTTCCTAAATCAAGCCTTTGTTCTATTACAGAAATTAGAGATTTGAGCAACCTGACTGCATGATTCGAGAAAATTTATTCCAACTCATCTTTCTAGGATATTGTAGTTATGGGGGATGCAGGGATGGGTGGGGTAGGGAGTCATGGACAATCATTGGGGTTCAATTAATCAAGAGGTTTAGTGGGGAAAGTCTTTGGAGTTTGAGGGCAACTATCAATTCAAGTCTAGGGAAGGTTTCATTGTATTTGGGTCATTGAGGAATGTTCACTGTAATATGGGGCAACTGCAGATAATAGACTGAGGCCTGCTAGTAAATGGAGGGAGAGGTAGTAAATACAGTGGGAGGCAATGGCCCAGAGGTATTATCACTGGGCTGTTAATCCAGAGATGGAGATAATGTTCTGGGGATCTGAGTTTGAGTCTCGCCATGGCAGATGGTGGAATTTGAATCCAGTAAAAATATCTGGAATTAAGAATCAACTGAAGACCATGAGTCGATTGTCAGGAAAAACCCATCTGGTTCACTAATGTCTTTTAGGGAAGGGAACTGCCATATTTACCCGGTCTGACTGCAGACCCACAGCAATTGCCCCACTCTGGGCAATTAGGGATGGGTAATAAATGCTGGCCCAGGCAGTAACACTCCTCATCCTATTAATGAATAAAAAGAAATGGAGGGGACCAGAAGTTCTGAGAGAGGTGGGGCATAGTTCAAACGAGTCACAGTAATTTTGGCCTTTGGGTGGGAGAGGTAGAATCATCAGGGCATGTGAATTTCCAATGTCATAGGTAATTCTGGGGCAAAGTGGCTACATGAATAGTAATGTAAAGAGGTTGAACTGGAATAAAATGAAGCTGAACGATCACAGGGCCTGCAGAGACAACAACAGAAAGTGGTGTGTGCAACTCAATTTTAAATATGGAGTCAGTAGCGTGTAAGTCAAAGGTCATGGCAGTGGAAGCACTTCCACCTCACTCACCACACGGTTCCCCGAGAAGCGCAGTCAACTTCCCAGATGGCTAACTGACAAGCTGAAAAATGGAAGACTGTGTGAGAAAATTCTACCGCCGCCCATGGCGGATTGGATGCCATGAAACTCACTCACCACCACATCTTCTCTGCAAGTGTTTTGGTTAGTTTTGTTTACCTTCCAGAAAAATTACAGATGATCACAAAATTTCCAGCACACGACAGGAAGGCAGCAAATCTCTCTGGATTCACTCTGCTCAGACGATATGTACAGTTCTGTTTTCTGGACCTGGAAAAGTTCAAGCTTTGCTTTTAAGCAAGCCTTAAGGATCAGAATCACTCTTGGTGATAATGAAACTTATCATTTTAGATCTGTCCAGTATAATCCTAAGAATTCAATCAAAATATGGTCAACACTTGACAAATAAGTACTAGTTAAGTTCAAAGTCTTGCCGCACCATGCTTTAGATAAGAACCAATGGAAGCCATACATCAATTCATAAACAAATATACAGGTAAGAAGTATGATTGTGACTTAATGGAAGTAGAGATGTCTGATGGAATAACTAAGCTCATGACTGCCAATTGAATGACTCAATGAAGACCTCTTGGACCAGCACAAAGATGACAGCTTTGAAGAATGACTACAAACCAAATACACTCATGAAGCCACACTACTGGGCAGACAGAGCTTACATGCTATGTTTCATTTGTTCCTTCCTTCTACCATTGACACAATAGTCATTGCAGGCAAGGCTGGGACTCAATGTGGCTGTGTGGCCTTACAAACTCATCCAGAAACTATTTGGATGTCAGGATGCATGCCAGACACATAACACCACTGAACAATGGGAGTTTCAATGCAGAAAGCAAATGCCAAATCAATGATACAATATTGTGTGAAACAGCAATAGGTACAGCATTCCAATCAAACAAGAGCATGTACCAGAGTAAAAAAAGATCAGACAGAGTGACCAGCCAAGCTAGTGGGTTAAATGATGAGGATTACCAAAATACCAATACATGAAATGAGCAGACATGTAACACAGTGAACATCAAAGTAAGTAATGCCACTAGTTCCACCATCCAAATTCTATGGTTACAGATTTAGTGACAGCACAGATTATACATAAAACTGGATGCTAGTGTAGATGTGAATATCTGTTCACTTGTACACTGATATATATGTACTGCATAAGTGATGGCTCAAACAGACACTGCTATACTTCCTGATGTGCAGTTACTCAGAGATTATATCCTTGCAGTTGATTGCATTTTAATGTCATTACGACAACTCACCCTGGTCATCTGAGACATTTTTTACCGAGGGTACTATCGTGTATGCAGGCCTCCTGGTGTGTTGAGATCTGTCTTTGGTTGCCATTCATGGTAGCCATCATATTAAGAAAAGAGATCACAAAACCTGGGGAGTGCCACTGAAAATGCATACACTGGCAGAAGACCAGCTATGGGGATTATTAGCTGACAGATGGGAAGGCACATTCTGAAATGAATAACTATATGCATGTCTAAGCATGTTTCTGGTTGATGGTAACCCTGGATATTGATGGTGGGAGATTCTGCAATGGCAATTTCATTAAATGCCCAATGCATTTATCAGCTGATCCCTGTGAAATACTATGAGATGCCTACTACCTCCCTAAAAAGATCCCATGAAATTATTTTACCTTTAGAGGTACTGGGCTGGGTTGTCACCGAGACCATGTAATTGCATGAGTACATTCAGCAACTGGCACAGCAGTGGCCCAGGACAATGCGACCATTGATTCTGGCTCTTACTTGTTTGTGGGTAGCTGCACGTAAGTGTGTAGATCCTGTTTGGCAGAAAGCCTCTCCTTCTATGTGGTGGCTCTTGTCCTACTACTTCTCTCTCTGCAGCTGTTGCAGGAGCTGGAAGTGGCCGCTGCTGTAGTATTTCATCTTCACAGTTTGTTCACAATTGTGGGAATGCAAGTAGAAGTGTTGCGTTGATCTCTGCTATGGTCCATTGGTTTATGGGAGATCTGTGAGAACAGGAGGTGAACACACACAATCCTAGTAAGGTACACTTTATCCAGGACAAGATTCCCCATGAAACTCCAGATGGTGCCCTCACAGAGGCCATGGCCCTGAACAGCATGTGCTTCATGTGATTCTGCACCGCTGTGAAGATTGAGAGGACAGCTTTCACATTGATACTTCACCATTACCTAAAAGGTGGTTGGTTCTCTCAGCTGGCCAGAGGTTTTGCAATGCAGAGTAACACCAACAATGTGGGTTCAATTCAAGCTGAGGTTACCATGAAGGACCCTCAGGTTAAACCACCACCAGTCAGCTCTCTCTAATGAGACAGCAACCCTATGTTCCGATAGGACTATGGCGACTTTACCAACAGTCATGTGCTACCACCTTGCCATCTGTGCTGATGTGACCCTGCCTTCCACAAGCACAGATCTCCCGTAAACCAATGAACAATTGCAGAGATCAAGCTCCTGCATGCAGTCTGTTTTAAAGTGCCACTGTGAGACAAAAACTGATGCTTAATCCTGTCCAATAAAGTGCTGCTTGTGAAGCAGATACTGGTGTGTTGCTGTTCTGTGATGGACCAGGGATACCACCTGCCTGGGTCACTGTGGAGGTGCTTACTCCAGTTGTAGAGATTACAACAAAATTAACATTAAGAGGACATCACTGGAGGCAGCTAAAGCTGTGTACTCAACTGAGAATCTGTTCAAGCTAAACCATCTTCAATCCAAAATCAAATTTACTCCAGCACCAGATATTGAACTTCAGTATGAAAGCTGAGAAAATTGGACACAAAAATATTCACAAATCTTCAGCTTCGTCGCTATTGTCTTGTTAACAATGATCTTTGTCTGACCAAGATCTAAGCTAGTCCCCATAGTTTCATGTGCCTGGTCCATGGATCCCTCAAAGAACACTGAAGAAATAAACTTAACTGCTGTTCTACAGATGCATTCGCAACATAATATATTCCATGTTGGACCTCCATTGATTACGACAGAACTGACAGGGTGGCTGTAATGACCCTGCCAAAATCACACATTGACCGTTGAGACATCCTACTTGGTCATATGAACCAGACCATCTTGACTTGGAACTGCAACAACATTCTACGCTGTCATCGGGTCAAAATTTTCCAAATGACTTCCGAATGGCATTGTGGGCATCCCTACAAACCAATGACAGCAAAGGTTCAAGATTGCAGCAAACTACCAAGGCAATTAGGGATGGGCAATAAATGCAGGGCCAGCCAGTGATGTTCACGTCCCATGAATGAAGGAAAAAAAAGCATTTTACATCAGTTATGGCATTATCATTGTTTTCTCATATATTACCCTATTAATTGACCAACCAAACATCTCAATCGCTGTTCTCAAGAACTGATGTTGTGTGATTCCTTCAACATTGAACCATTTGTATCCCTGATTAGGGTCAAAGCTTGGTTTGGTGCTCAAATTCCTGGCACCAGTCGCACTGATTATAACGAAAGCTGTTTTCAAGGTTAGGCCAACTCATCAATGATTTTGAGGTAGTTCCAGCAAAAGCAATCACAGGCTTTGTACATGGGCTAACCAATGTGACCCATCACAAAGTACCATGACTCAGAGAAAGTCTCAATAATGTTGACTCAATGAGTATTCTATTAATTGGCATTCATATGACTGTCTTCATGGGTTGTACAGTTGAGAAAATGTATCTGTTTAAATTAGGTATTGACATCTGGGCTGGAGTTTGACCCTCATACTGAGGAGAATCCACCATAATATATATATTAATTTATACAACTTAAAATATGTTTGTGAATGTGCTGCCATATGGGCCCTCAAATAAGGTGTCCACATTGATGCAATCAATAAAACTTATCCACGTGCAATTACTGCACAATGCACACTGTACTATATACGATAATTAATAATATAATTCCTGTAGTATGGCGGCTAGATGTTAGAATTGGGAAAGGAATACATTCCTGCTCCACGAGGGGTACAATACACAATAAACTGGTGGATGCAGAAAAATATAGAGGATTAGGTAGATCTTAGACTACATGACAACTGATCCCCGAGGGGCTGAAAGGACAGGTCAAAAATGTGGATGGGATTCTTGAATTTAGAAGTGCAGGCCTAGAATTTCAGAGCCGGGAGTAATGCTGGAAATATGTGAAACACTGGTTAAGCTGCAGCTGGAGCTAATGATACATTTCACACTTTCAAAACAATGTAATTGCACTAGAGAGGTTACAGAGGTGATTTACAAGCATGCTACCTGGATTGAAGATTTTAGTTATGAGGAAATGTCGGATAGGTAGGAAATAAAAACAGAAAGTGCTGGAAAACATGAGTGGATATGGCAGAATCTGTGGAGAAACAAAGTAAACGTTTCGTGTTCAATGACTCTTTATTGAGTCTGCTCCATTGTGTCTACTCCATTCATGTTATCTTGAGAGTTATAAACAATTTGACACACTTATTAACCAGGTCCCATTTCTTCATAATCAAGATTATGGACACACAATAGCTTTTTGTTTCTGTCTTTCTTATTAGAGTCCGAACGCAGAATATGTTAAACACCACCACCGTGTGTTCTGAATGCTACCCTGTAACTGCAGGGAAGTTTATTTCTTTAACCATGATTCATTACCCCTGACATCAAGGATATTTGAATCAGAGATAGTAGGAACTGCAGATGCTGGAGAATCCGAGACAACAAGGTGCAGGGCTGGATGAACACAGCAGGCCAAGCAGCATCATAGGAGCAGAGAGGCTGACATTTCGGGCCCAGACCCTTCATCAGAAAAGGGGGAGGGGAAGGGGGTTTTGAAATAAATAGGGAGAGAGTGGGAGGCGGATAGAAGAGGGATAGAGGAGAGGATAGGTGGAGAGGAAACAAACAGGTCGAAGAGGCGGGGATGGAGCCAGTAAAGGTGAGTGTAGGTAGGGAGTTAGGAAGGGGATAGGTCAGTCCAGGGAGGACGGACAGGTCAAGGGGGCGGGATGAGGTTGGTCAGTAGGAGATGGAGGTGCGGCTTGAGGTGGGAGGAGGGGATAGGTGGGAGGAAGAACAGGTTAGGGAGGCAGGGACGAGCTGGACTGGTTTTGGGATGCGGTGGGGGGAGGGGAGATTTTGAAACTTGTGAAATCCACATTGATACCATTGGGCTGCAGGGTTCCCAAGCGGAATATGAGTTGCTGTTCCTGCAACCTTCGGGTGGCATCGTTGTGGCACTGCAGGAGGCCCAGGATGGACATGTCGTCTGAGGAATGGGAGGGGGAGTTGAAATGGTTCGCAACTGGGAGGTGCAGTTGTTTGTTGCGAACCGAGCGTAGGTGTTCTGCAAAGCGGTCCCCGAGTCTCCGCTTGGTTTCCCCGATGTAGAGGAAGCCACACTGGGTACAGCGGATGCAGTATACCACATTGGCAGATGTGCAGGTGAACATCTGCTTGATGTGGAAAGTCTTCTTGGGGCCTGGGATGGGAGTGAGGGAGGAGGTATGGGGGCTGGTGTAGCACTTCCTGCGGTTGCAGGGAAAAGTGCCGGGTGTGGTGGAGCTGGAGGGGAGTGTGGAGCGGACAAGGGAGTCACGGAGAGAGTTGTCCCTCCGGAAGGCAGATAAGGGTGGGGAGGGAAAGATGTCTTTGGTGGTGGGGTCGGATTGTAGATGGCGGAAGTGTCGGAGGATGATGCGTTGGATCCGGAGGTTGGTGGGGTGGTACGTGAGGACGAGGGGGATTCTTTTTTGGTTC